ACGTTTCCCCACACAACCCCTGCAGCAGCCTGGAGCTCTCCGGGAAGCAGCAGGGCTGGCATTGCCCCTGTGGCCCCACAAAGCCTGGAGCAACACCTCAAGTCAGCAGAGCTTCCGTTTCCTAAGTGAGAGAGAGAAGTTAAGCCTCCAGTGGCCGGTAGGAACAGCACCCACACTGTGTTACCCCCATGTCTCACACAATGGAGGTTAAGGCTTTTTCCAGAGCTGCTGGGAGGGTTTGGATTTGAGGTGGGTAAGATCTGAGGAGGATAAGATCCAGATGTTCAGTGCTGGTTAGGAGTTAAGTCACTAAAACCCTCAAAGCATCACCACCATGTCCCAGGCCAACCCTCCTTTGGTGACGTTCGCCTTGTTGTTTCAGTGCAATCCTTGGGGAGAAAGAAACACGAAAAAAATGTTTTGGTTAAAGCCAGAGGTGTTCAACCTGCCAAGGACAGGCTGCCCTGGCTGCCAGAGCCCAGCAAAACTGAGTTAACGGGCTACACCAAGAGCAGCCAAAACCCTCTCCTTGCTCTCATTAGCTGGATCCTGTAGGGCCAGAGCCCTCCCTGCCCTGCAGCTCCTCGAGTTGAGGCCCAGAAATGGGAATATCACCCCAAAGCACTGCACTGAGGCACACAGAGAACATCATCTTCCATGAATTCTCCAGACTGTGGCAGAGGGCATAAGCCTTAGACCTGCTCCGAAGCTCCCAGGAAACAGTTCCAGTTCCCAACCCTCCTGCCCTGCTGGCGCCCGGGAGGCGCCGGAGCTGCAGCTCAGCAGCACTCAAAGACCACATTTTAATCCGTTCAGAACCTCCTCAGCACCTTACTCACCCAGACTTCATCAGCCCAGCATTTGCATCCCTAACGACACGCCAGGCTGGCTGTCTCCTCCAGCAGCAGGGAGCTGGGGAATCAGAGCACCAGGACACTTCCACAGACCCCCGAGGACCTGGAGCACTTCCCTGCTGAATCCCACCACCCACGAGGCATCTCACCTGGCAGAGAGTTGCTCTTTACAGCAGCTCTTCCTTAGAACAAAAGATACTGGGAGTTTCAACTCCAAAGTGGAATAAGCAGGGTGGGAAAGGAGATGAACATGTGAGCATCCTGCTCCAACACAAACACACAGCTTCTCATCCCACAAACAGGGTGGTTCCTTGCAGG